TTATAGTTTTAAAGTCGACTAAGTCAAATCTGTGTCTCAAGTAAAGAAAAAAAGAATAATCTATTCTAACATTATATAAGTTTGATTTATTACAAGTAACAGACTTGTTCCAATGTTAACAATAAGTAAATTAAAATCTCAGTTAATGCTTTAACCTATATCAAAAAAATTTTTTGTGAAAAAACTCAAAAATCTCTATTTTTAAAAAAATTCTTGCAAATTTTTGAAGAAATATTTTAAAGATCTTTGAAAAACTTCAAAAAATTTAATAGCAAAATAATTAGAAGATCTTTAAAATAATATAAAATAAAACATTTAATTTTAAATATTTTATAAAAAATTGAGTTGTTTATTTTTTTAGAATACTTAATATAAAAAATGAGTGAAACAAAATTTTATTAAATTATTTAGAATGAAAATCTTACAAAGTTTTTTTGAAAATTAGAAATTTTTAAATTTAAATATTTGTAAAATTATTAATTATTTAAAAATTTCAAATTTTTACAATACTCTAAAGATTTTTTGTCTTAAATAAATTAAAGTAAAATTTTGTTTTGCATATTTTTTATTAAGTACTGTGATCAAAATCCATTTGATCTGTATCCGAGTGATAGTTTTTAGAAGGAATTAGAGATTATATAGAACAATCTGTCGTTCCAGAGATAATCTCTTACAAATATTCCAAGGTACAGCAAAGATTCCCCAATGAATCTTTGTAACCAAAATATATTTAATAATATAATAATATTTTATTAAGACACCGAGTCAGAAATTCCAACGGTTATAGGAATGAGTTATTAGAAACTAACTAAAAATTACATGGATGGCAGCTACTTATATAGTGTTTTTTATCCTAAGCTATCTGGACTGCCTAGGCTGTCTGGACTGTCTGGGCTGCCTGATTTACATGTCGCGATGTCATAATTTCATAAATCATAGGCCTTGTAGGTCTTCTGGACCTTCCGGGTTGTTTGGATCTTTTAGGCTGTCTGATCTACGTCACATGTGCTATAAATAGATATTTATATTATAATAAAATTATAAATCCTACTGCTAAAATTAAACTAATAATAATTTGATAAAAATAAGTAAAAATAAAACTAAGTTATCTATTCTATCACAGTACTTAAGCTTCAATCAATTATTTTTATATAAATTTTTAAATTATGTATATATAATATTTAAACCATTTTGAAAATTATTATTATTATTATTATTATTTTAAGTAGGTAAATATTGTTGCTTTATTATAATTGTAAAATTGAAAAATTTATATAAAGAAAGTAACAATATCTCTCATATGATCAGTTGATCAGTGAGTTTAATGCTAGTTTGTCTATAGTAAACTATTTAAGTTGTAAAGAAAAAGAAATATTAAATCCAATATATTATCAAAGATAATATCAAGTAGTTATGAATACCTACTCAGATTTATATATAAAAAGACTATAAGAAATAGAAAAGAAATAAAATACTATATCTGCTTGCCAGACATCAAGCCATATTTGGAAAGCAAGCATGCCAATCCTAGTTATAATTTGGAGGCAAACCTATATATAGTGGCTGCAACGCCTTCATATAACCAAGTATCATTTATTTTAGGTAGCTAGATGCTACTCAAAGTTTAATATAGGTTTTGAAATTCATTTTCCTGTATTTTTGGGTGGTTCTAAGGAGCACAGGCGGATGGGCCCTTATGGTAGGCCTTGCGTTAAACCCTTCCTAGCAAGGAAGATGTATATTGCATACTTAATATAAAATCTTGCCTTGTTACAAGTCTAAAATTTATAATAAAAATACATGCGGGGAGCTGCCCGCTTCTTCAAAAAAAAAAAAAGAAATAAAATACTAAACAAAAAAATAGATGCAAAAAAACTAATTATAAAGCTAAAGATACTCCAGAGAAGTATGCTATGCTAGTAGTTCTATTTAACTAAAGTATAGTATATATGTACTTATTACAAATGATCAAGCTACTGTCCAAAGTATACAATAATATTAATAATATATTTTTTTGATAATTGATTGGTTGTAATAATTGTATTGTTATTTTGTTAATATAATTAGTAATTGATTTGTTTGTTGATAGTATAATCAGTTTGTTTATTGATAATATAATTTTGTTTTGATAGTTGTTATTGAAAAAGATTTTGTTTATATTAATCAATATGTGGTATTTTGGTAATATAAATTTGTTTAAATAATTGATAGTGTTTAATTGATTGGTTTTGAGATATTAATTAATTGACAGAAGTAAACTAATTGTAATTTTTTTGTGAAAAATTTTTTAAAAAAAGTTTTATGTTTTTTGTGATTTAGAAAATTATACTAAACAATAGTAAGAATAAAACAATAAATATTACTAGTTGAAATTAATTTATTTGACATAATATTACTTGTCAATCATTTGTTAAAAAAGTATATAAATTGGCTAATCAATTAAATTTATATGACCTTTATTTTTGGTTATAAAGTGGTATATAATTTATTTGGAACATAAATGATATACTTTTTTTTAAACCTTATTTTATTAGAAGTTAATATTTCAACAGTAAAATGAATAATTTATTTTTTATGTCAAATATATATATATATATTTTGATTTTGCAAAATTATATTACTTTGACAAATTATATTACTTTGATAAATTATATTATCTTGTCAAATATATAGTATACATTGCTAAATTATATTATTTTGCTGAATTATATTATCTTATCAAATTTATATATATTGTTATAAGTGTTGATAGTACTATTTTAAATTAATATTTTATAGTATTATATTACTTTATTATTTCTATTATTAGTTATCTAGCATATATTATATAGTAAGTAGATATGTCATTTCTATTAGATATGACTAATCAGCCTGATCGATCTAATAGACCTGACTGATCTGATTGGCCTGATCAGACAGAACAGTCTGAACAACCTGAGCAACGTAATCAAGAATATCAGGTATATCTAACTGAACTGGCATATCTCATCACTTATTTATATTTTAATTTCATATATTTTAAACATGTATAAATAAGACAACTGTTCTTCTCAACTGTTCAAGAAATTTTCCAACTCTTTCCAACTTTTTTTAATAAAAACTATCTTGAAACCATAACCAAATCACCATGTCTCTTATCTTGGAAATAAACCTTACCCAATTCCTTTATTTTACCAACACTAGTATACCACAACTGAGACTATATTCTTCTAAATTAAGTAGTTTCCTACTACTGTTGTCTATTGATTTATTTAATTTTAAGGTTTATTAAATAGGTTAACAAATTGATGGTGGCTGTGAGATCTTGATCTGTGAGATTCAGTTTATTATGTAACTAAAAAGAAACTATTGAAAGTGAATCTTAAAGAGAAACAGGAAAGGCTTTGTTTAGTATTAGAAGTATTACAGCAAAAGAAGAGTCTGTAATTCAGAATCCAAAGTCTAACAAAAAAAGGCCAATAGAAGATTCATAGTAGATTATCAAATATTTGAACACTTTATCAACAAACATGATCAAGTATATCAAGACTATTCAGAACTAAGTAAAGAAGCAATCCAACAAAGATGACCAGATGAGTCCTGCACTATTTGCTTTCTTCCTATTGAGAACTATAATCTTTATTTTATCCACTTCTGGAATTGAACCCAATATTCATTTAGAACTTATTATTATTTTTAGTGACAGAAGTTGATTGTGACTGAACTGGCCTGGCTGTTATGGTTGACTTGGCTGGCTGAAATGATTTATGGCTAACCCAGGCCAATGAAAATTTTACTATATAAGTATACTTAGCCAGTCGACTAAGCTGATAAAATTTTTATTAAATAAGGTATATATGGCTGGCCGACTAAGTTGACAAAATTTATACTATATATGGTATGCAAAATGTTTCAACCACTGATAAAATTTCACTCTGTCCCATTTTAGCGATAGATTCGCTAAACGACCGTCACAAATTTGGTGGTGACTGTGAGATAGTGAGATAGAATGCTGTTTGTTTATTTTTTTTTTATTTTATTATTATTTTTTTTTTCTCTGATATTTTCACACGAACACCTTTTTTTTCGACACTTTTCCCAACCCCTATTATAAAAAACACAACCATTCATTAGAATCTTTTTGCATTCTATTACCCGACTTCCTAATTTTTACTTTCTTTTATTTCCCCCTAATCTTTAGACATGCAGTATAACGACCCGACCTAGGCACAGCTCAAGATCTGGAACCTCGAATTAGTTAAACAGTGTGAATATCATTAACTTACCTGATAACCTTATAAAACGATGATGAATTTCCAAATAGGTGGTGACACAACTACCAGACTCCTCCAGCAGCTTGTCACCTTGCAAGAAGTAACGTGGGTCCTTGATAATAAAAAAAATCTAAATACAGAATCAAAAAAGCAAGAAGAAAAAGTCCGATGGGTCAAACTACGTAGGTTTGAGGGAAAATCTGGAGAGAGCCCACAAGAGTGATTAAAGCGAGAAGGCTGCCGAATTCTATGGTTGGCCAAGTAGTGAGGAGTAAGTCACTACTTGGAAGGGAACACCAAGGAGTGGTATAAGACCAATTTGTTTATTGGAATGAATGTGATGATAGAAAAAGCTTTGTATCGATGTTTGTATAGCATTTCGAAATACTGGAGCAATGTTGTCGATGGCAAGAAGAATTGGAAACCATTCAGCAAGGCAAGAATGAAAAGGTGATGGAGTATGCCCGTAGGTTTGCGAAGCTACTCAAGAAGCTCCACCCAAAGGGCAATTACGTCAAAGAAGTGGCACATTGGTTGTTGGTATTTGAACTAAGGAAAGATATACTAACGCAACCAACCATCGGGAACATGACCACGCCAGGAGAAGCACTCAAAGAAGCAGTAAAGATTAAACGAGCAAGAGAGTTAAAAGCCTGTATCCAAGGACTAATGAAGCAAGTACAAGGATTAGGAATGAAGTGAAACAAACCTGCTGTTCTTGCTAAAGAAAGCGTAAGTGAACCAGAGATGCCGTCGGGAAAGGATTTGGATTGTAAAGATTTAAGAAAGAGAGGCCATAATGCTGAAGATTGTCCAAAAGAGAACAAGTTTTCCCAAGGGTCGTCTGGGACAAATGAGATGCAACTTGACGAGGATGGAGAATTGGGACGTTCGTCAAAGGACTCATACACTGCGAACCCTGAAGAAGGTTGTAACAAAGAGATGGATTGTGACCTGCAAAAAGAAAATGAATCCTTGGAAGAAACAACGGATGATTACCCGAGCATGATCCTGGAAGACATAAGCATAGAAGAGGATGAATCAGCGACGAATCACGAGCAACAGAAAGAACGACGAGATCATAGGCTGCAGCAACATCCCTGTAGAAACACCTAACACCTAGAGGAAATGACGACCGGTCACCCAAGCAAAGATCTGGAAGAATGCCTCAACAATGACAGAACCCTAATGACGAAAGATAAGAGAAATAACAATGTCAACGAGGGAAAAGGTAATACTGGAGGATGCCTCGAAGAAAAGACAATACTTATGAGAGCAGACCCTGCGACGAAAAAGAGTAACCAACCATCATGGATAATCGTGATCAGGGAGGAGGATATGCCACTGTGTAAAAGGAACTTGTTAACAATAAACCTGATCTTGAAGACACTCGGCATACAATGAAGGGAATAGGCTTGTCAAGGAATTCCTGAATTCGGAGGTGGTGGCAATGAAAAATCCGAAGTGACTAAGAAACCGAAACAATGTGACTAATGAAGGTCATAATACACGTGCATAGACTGGAAATCGAACACCATCAATATGACACCTGCACCATTACAGTTCAATATCATTTGGTCAATTGGAGTAAAGTAAGCAACCAGACTACGATGGCTTCTCTAACGACATCACTGGCCATACACTACGATTCTGAGAGATCATCAGCTTGATGTACCTAAGAATCAAGCACAAATGGAGAAATAAGATGATTGATGACCTAACCTCTTATTAACAACTGGCACTTGCTGACAGACCGTTACAGTCGATCCACTGTATTAAAAACCCTATGCGTGGTACGCATAAGATAAACGTGGGGGAAGTGTCAGGGTAAAATTATGACGTGACGCCAGTCACATGACTAACCATCATAATCGTGCCACGAAGGACCTGTTCAGATCATGGTACTTAAGCATAAGTGGTGGGAAATAGTTAAAATAGTAATAGAATAGCGTATTAGGAAATTAGATAATAATAAGAGAATCGTGAGAGATGATTAAATAATGTAAACTATTGTGTCTGAACATTACGTAATTAGGAAGAATCTTAAGAAGACATTAGATAATCGATGTTGCCATATTTTTAGAATGTAAAAGTTGTTCTAACCAAAATGTATAAAAAGATGAAAACCGACTAGAAAAAAAAATAATGAAGCATACATATATTTGAAATCGCGCATACATACATGTTTAATTAAATGCAGTTATGTCAAGTCAACAAAAAAGCAGACTGAAACAATTTATAGAATATGACCCAAACATTCGTAATACTACAACCACTAGACATTGACAAACTGTATCCATACAATTCACACCATCATATGAATCTCTTTCTCCTTCCACTTCCCCTAATCATAATGAAGAATATTTAACACCATCTATATTATCACCTCTACACTCGCCAAGTTCTTTACCATTCACAAGTCTCCCATCTACCTCATATTCAGATCACCAACCTTCTGTCCAAGTACTACAGACAATAAAACATGTGCAATGCAGAGATCATAACAGTAGCTGGGTATGGGATTATATAGATAAAAACATCATTGATGGTTATAGATATTGTCAAGTATTAGTTGTTAAGAATGGTCAAAATGTTTCATGTGGAAGTCGGTTCAAATTATCATGCTCCACAACAAATATCAGAAACCATCTGAGCAAGGTACACCAAATAATGTCAGTATACAATTCCGAAGAAACCATGAAAAAGGTAGCCTCAAATAAAAACCAACAGATAATAGAAAATTGCATCAACACGGCAAAACCATATAAATCAACTGATATCTAGTATCATTATATTACAACCAGGTTGCTACAGTGAATAGTTGAAGATTTATAACCGATTAATATTGTCAACACACCAACATTCATAAGTTTGTGTAAATCTTTGAATAAACGATACTCTGTACCCTATATAAGTACTATAAAGAAGAAACTACATGAATATGTCGTGTTTACTGAAGAACATCTATAAAATGAAATCAAAAATTCAATGAAAACATGTAGTTTTACAACAGACCTTTGGACACAATTTTATATATCATATATCGGTGTAACAGTTCACTGGATTACTCCTGAGTTTGAGTTACAGCAAGGACTCTTAACTATAGAAGAATTTCCTTATGGACACTCTGCCACCAGAATCGCTGAATTCCTTTGTATGTTATTTGAGAAGTGATGTATAAGTAATAAAGTTATTGTAGGAATAAGTGACAATGCTGCCAATATGAAAGCTGCACTACAACTCAACATTCAACATATAACCTGTTGTGCACATACACTACAACTTGCAATAAACGAAGGGCTAAAAGAATGTTGTGAATTCATGGCTAAGGCAATAGCATTAAATAATACTCTTGTGAATCGTGATAAATATCGTGAAACACTATGACGTGTGCAACAGTTAATGATCGATGATAATTTATAAACAAAAATTCTTGAACCTATTACTGATATCAAAACTAGATGGAACTCAACTTACCTTGTCTTGCAATGCCTTTATACACTCTGTAATTCTGTGCATTCCCTGGCTGCTGTTTTCAAAAATGATGCTGAATATTTAGTTCAAAATGATAGAAATAATCTGAAAAATCTTTTATTAAGTAATGATGAATGGTTAGCGTTAAGTAGTTTATTAGAGTTGTTAAAGCCATTTGTTCAAGTTATAGCAATATTGGTGGAAGCCATTATCTGACACTATCTATGATGTATCCTGCTATAAACAAAATCAAAAATCATCTTGCTTAATTTATATCTCAACATAACATTGTAACAAGAGTAAGAGACTGTATTAATAAGCAAATAAATATATGCTGGCAGAATACTTTGTTGATAGGATCTTTTGCCTCATACTTCGACCCTCGCTTCAAAAAACTGAAATTCTTAACTGCTGAGAAACAAGCAAGCATTATAATGGAAGTATAACAAATTATGGAAACAGATAACCCAGCAAATATAATACTTAATATGCAAATAAATTTAAATCAGAACAGTTTCTTTGATGATATAGATGACAATAGTGTTTTCTCTATACAAAATAAAATGCAATTATATTCTACAATGTTACCAATCCCAATCCACCCATTCAATAATCCATTGTATAAAACGGAAAATCCACTTAATTGGTGGAAGTTGCACTATAAGACACTACCTAGCCATGTAAGACAAGCTTGCAAATATCTTGCAATACCTGCTTCATCAGTTCCATCTGAGCAATTATTTTCGGATGCTGGAAATATAATTACTGAAAAATGCAATAGGCTAAGCCCAACTTATGTTTACGATATTCTTTTTTTGAAACATAATTCAAAACTGTTTGATGTGTATTCAGACATAAATATGTGATTATAATAGTTATTA